GCAAAATCATGACTTGGCTCTTCTCCATCAGCAAAGTCAGAAATAAGCATGTATTAAAAAGACAGAGGCCAGATGGGGTTGTGAGAGAAAGGGGCCGGAGTGGAGTTCAGAGGCTGGGGCAATGATTAGATGGTGAGAGTTGAGCTGTCAGGAGAAGGTCTATGAGTTCAAGCCATATGACATCACATCCTTTGCCTTGGTAGCTTTTCCACTGGCCTGAGGACAACCTGGTCCCTGTACCAGAAGACACAGAACTAGGGTTCCCTTGTCCCTTCTTTGCCAGCCCACAGCAAAAAGGGGATATCATCCCCAGGTTCCTGGGGGTTTTGCTCAGCCTGGGTTAATAACAGCTGGGGCTCCTGTAGTGGGAGTGTTCACTCGCCCCAGCGATCAAAGACAGTCGCTCTGCGCATTGGGACTAGAAGACCCACAGGAAAAACAGGTGTGCAGATCCTTACCCTACACATACCTTACAGCCGGAGTCCTCAGACCCGACTGTCTCCCACAGGACCAACTGAGGGACGTGCTAAGGAGGGTTGGGTGCAGGAGGATCCTGGTCTGCAGATGCACTTTTCTCCAGTGAGATCATAGTATTGTAGATACCAAATGGCTACAACCGCTTCCTGGGACAACACATGCTCTGCAGAAAAAGCAAGAGAGCAAGGTGCGCCCTGCCAGCGTCCAACAGCGCCGCATCAAACCCCCCTAGGTGCACCTGCTCGGAGCCCCTGGTGAGTCGTGCTGAGGTAAGCCAGCTCTGGGCATGCATTAGTAGCATATCAGTGGCAGTGCCCAGGCAAGGGTTTAGAGCTTCCAAATAGAGTTGAATTCATAATATCCATCATTTCATTTAGTGTGCTTTGGATGGAAGTTCACAGAGCAAAGTTATTTTCCACCCAGCAATTTTTGCGCCTTCTAGTCCCCGGCCTTGGCTGCAGTCCCTCAATGTGGCTGAAGCTCCCCCACCCCCTGCTTCCTGCAGGCTTCCCATCCCAACTGTCTCTCTGTCCTGCCTTCTGCACTTGTTTCCTTGGCAAATGCCGCCGCCCTAGGCCTCATATGACTGGCGGTGCTGCTGCATGCGCGCCTCACCAGTCTCTTCTTGGCGGCTAGCTGACCCTGGGAGCTGGTTACATGCAGCTATATGACTGAAGGGTGTCTACGAGGCACAGTCTTGGGGTTCCACCAATCCATCAGATCCAGAAATCTACATTTTTCTCCTACACTGGTCAGGACCTTGGGCCCTTCTTCAGAGAGGCCAGCAGTGGTCACTGGCTGACAGTTCTGTTCTTGTCTTTCCTGCCAGGGAAGCACCCCCAGCCTTTCCAAGATGATTAGAGACCGCAAAACACTGAAGCAAACTAGCCAGCGTGGAACTCATGCCAACGGCGAGGCCCCTGACAGAATGGGCTAGACAATTCCCGGCCCGAGAGCGGGAGCTGATGTGCGGCCCCACACCTCTGCCTGAAAAGGAACTGTTCAATCAGGAGCACTCTGTTTTCCAACACTGACCCAGCCACCCACCCACCCCACGCTGGCCAAGCTGTGCGGGAGGAACAGGGGATCAGGAGCACACTGACCCTACAGCCTCAAATACGTGCAGAATCCGGCTTTTGATTCATTTGAATCCACATGCTTCAGGTAATGTCTTTATTCTCGCCGAGGTCTTCTTTGGTTGAGACAAAAAGCAGGAAGCCAGATTTTCCCACTAAAATAAATGAATCAAAATATGCTAACCAGAAGAGCATTAAAAAAGCAGCAAAGAACGTGGCAACGGCTTACCATACGCTTTGTCTCACGGAATAACTAATGAAGGAAGTTACCCAGCTATCTGCTGTGGGAAACAACTGTTTGCGTATTATTATTTATTTTCTAGGTTGCAGATTAAAAGCACAATTGTTATTGCCCCAGATAACATTTTTCTAAAGTGGGTTACAAGGCAGGGCAGAGCGTCCAGGGACAGGTGTACGTGCGCCCGTGAAGCTCATCACCTGTGGACGCCGCCATGGTCTTTGAGATGAACCCAGCGATGCATATACTGAAAAGCCCAGGAGTCCTGTGGAGCCCAGCATGCTCCACAGTATTCTCAGTCCCCAGCCCCTCTTCCTAACAGACCCCAAAGAGCCCTGGGGCGCTGCTGTGAAGCCTCCCGCTGCTAACGGCAGAGGCAGCGGTTTGGGTGCTGCAGAGCTCCGTGCACACCTGCTACTGCTGTGAACGCAGCTTTGGAAAGCCCATCGGGCCCTGAGTCAGCACTGACGCAAACGCACGCACACACCCATCTCGACGGCCCTTGAATGGCCTTTCTGCAGGTCAAGAAAGGTGTGTTAGACAAGAAGGGAAATTCTGGAAGATTCTGGAATCAGTCAGATGCGATTCCCTGCTTGGGCACTTATTCCCCCATGTGACGTCAGACAAGCTCCGTAATGGCACTGCCCCCGTGTAACGCAGCAGTGTTTGGTGCCTGGGTGTCTGACCCTCTACCAAACACCGTTTTGAAACAAACCCCCAACTCTGCAGTCAACAGCACACCAGGTCGCACGGCTCCTCTTCTGTCCGGGCACTGGAGGTCCACAGTGGAGGGGAGGCGAGGACCGTTCTCTGTGCCACTTTGAGAGTTATCTATTGCATCAAGGCATCCCAAAGCACATCACCTCACACAAGAGACATGGCTCATCTCACAGTTTTGGTGGATCGGCAGGGGTCCTCTGCTGCATCGTCTCCGAGAAGCCTGCAGCCCGGGGGTCAGTCCGGGTCAGAAGGCTCCATCTGTGAGCCCCTTTGAGTGGGCTCTGGAAGTATCCAGTTGCCTGTGAACCTTCGGGCCGAAGAATTCAGCTCCTCCCTGGCTGTTGGTTGGCGAACTGCCTCACTTCCTTTCCATGTGGGCCTCTCGCACGGGGCAGCTCCTTTCATCGAAGTGTACAAGCCTGAGAAGGCAGTCACAACCCCATGTGACTTAACCACGGGACCACAGGGGCGGGGGCGCGGAGGTGGCGGCAGATCCCATCACCTCTGCTGCCTTCTGTTGGTTAGAGGCAAGTTAACGGAGTCACCCTCTCTCTGCTCAAGAGGAAGGATCACACAGGGACATGAATATCAGGAAACAGGATCACAGGGACCCTCTGAGGTGGGGGGGTGGGCCTCCTCTTGGCATATAGATGGGAAGACACGGCCCGGAAAAGATCATTAAGGGTCTCAACAGGAAGCCAAGCCGTGGACGGTGCACGCATGCTGTCTCGTGGAAACAGGGTGAGAAAGAACACGTAAGAAGGGCATGAAAGTTCGTTCAAGGGCACTAAAGGCTGCTCACCTGTTCAAAGCCAACACAGTGGACCACCCAGGAAACCCTGGGCACGCTTGGCAGCAGCCAGTCCCCACGTGGAACTCGAGACGTCTGAAAGAAGGGCTGCCTACTCCATCAGACACTGACCACCAGGACCTCTCCAGTGCTCCAGAAGTAACCTCCCTCAGAAGTTCCATGGCTTGTTATGGAAGAAGGTGAAAATATATCTCCTGCCCTCTTACTGCTTACTGCTTTCGGCTAGATCCGTGTCGGCCCACAGCAGGGTTGCCTCCCTGGCTCTTGTGAGACCCATTGCCACCACAGGGGGGACGTGGACACTGTGGAAGCATCAGACCTTGGCTGTCCCCCGCATGCTCTCCATACGTTCTCTCCAACTCTGCTCAGACTCTGGGCGCCCCAACATTCAAAGACAGGAAGAACCCCTGGAGACTGTCTCTGAAAGACTTTCCTCCAACTCAAAGGATGTGACCTACTATGCGTTGAAAACATAACAATGCTTAGAACACCTGGGACTGGTCTATGCGAATGCAGGCGCAGATGATCTTAAACCGGAGCATCCTAATTTCATTGTACAGTTTCTCTTTCTCTCCTGCACATTCCCCTTCTTTCCCAGAGCATCCCTGAGCCTCGCCTGCTGCAGTCCCTGCCCTGACTCGGCTCTGAGGATGCAGCGCCTCACTGCTTCTTCTTCTACAGCAGTGGTCCTCAGCCCTCCTAGCGCTGAGACCCTTTCAGACCAATCCCATGGGCTGGTGGCCCCCCAACCGTGACATTATGTTCGTTGTTACTTCATCACTGCCATTTTGCTACTGTGATGAACTGTCATGTAAATATCCGATCTGCAGGATGTATTTTCATTGTCACAAATTGAACATAATGAAAGCATAGTGATTATTCACAAAAACAATATGTAATCGAATATTGTGAAATATTTATTTCAAATGACAAATCAATGCCATTGTGTCTTGAAGCATGGTGTAGCATGGGTAAGTCTTCACACCGGGTACACATATGTGGGCGTATCTGCATGTGGGCGGACCCACCTGGAGACTGATAAAGGAACGGTGGTGTCTCAGTTCCTACGACCACTGGAAATATATAGGCGACCCCTGTGAAAGAGTCCTTCAGTCCCCAAAGGGGCTGAGACCCACAGGTTGAGAACCGCTGTTTTAGAGCATAGGTTCCCAACGCATTTGGCCTACGACACCCTTCTCAGAAAACATATTATCACTCAGCACCTCCTGGCTTTTAAAATCTGCTGTTTATACGTCACGATAAGGCAGTGGTGTCTGCTTCTGATAGCCCTCTGGATGGTCCAGTGCCCCTTGGCAGCTGATAACACCCGACTCGGCCAACACTGCTTTTCAGAGATGGTAGTTGGTACAGTTACAACTGGAAGTGCACCTCCACTAGAAGGAGCACCAGTGTAGACCACCCGGAGCTGACCGAGACAGGCCCCCTGGGGGACCCCGACACACGGTAAACAGTAATGCAGCATGCCTGCGTCAAACAGGGGGGCAGGAAGTCGCCGGATCCCAGTGTGAATGTGGGGAGCAGGGAGGGAAGTTAAGAAACACTTGGCGGGGAGCTTTCTGACGGCGCTCGCTACCCACCCGCTTGTGAAGCACACAGTGCTGACAGACTCATAACCTTTTTTTGAATGGCTTTGGAGAAACAGAGGGAAGGCGCTTACCTCTCTCAGGTGGATGTTCTCCTTCTCCTTCTGGTCTAAAATCACCTCCAGGTGGCTGACCTGGGACTCGGCCTCGGCCACCCGCCGCGTCTGCTCCGTGTCCTCCTCCAGGCTCTTGGACGGCAAGCCCCGGCTCTGCAGCATCTCCAGCAGCTTCTTGATGGACTCGTCCCGGGCGTTGAGCGTCTGCTTCTGCGTCTCGATCCGCAGCTCCATCTCCTCCAGCGTCTTCCGCAGCAGGAACAGCTCCTTGGCCTGCCGGTCGTGCTCGGCCTGCAGACGCCTGAAGTTCTCCTCGGTGAGCTCGATGGTGAAGTGCTCCGGCCCGCGGTGGCCGCTCTCCTGCTGCAGGAGGTGGTTGAGGTCTCGCTGCGTCCGCAGCTCATCCTGCAGGGCTTGGATGGTCAGCTGCAGATGCTGCCAAGAGAAAGGCGGGGCGGAGGGGAGAGAGAAGGGAGACACGGTCAGGCCTCTGTGTGCCAGCTCTCGGCCCGACCGCCCGTGACAATGGGATGGCAATCGTGAGGTCTGGAAGACCAGCCGTGAAGTCCTCCACGGCGATTTCGGAAGCATGGGGCAGCGCATGGAGAAGGGGAAATTAAGTCGATGGGTGCCCTCCAAATGTCTGAGGAGAGATGTACACAAACACGGGGCAGTGGATTAGTGCCAGTCACAGGGGAGATCACACATCTACAGTCTTAGTTGAGGACGTGGAAGAGGTTAGGGGACACTTTCTCAAGCACACCTCTCCTGATGCCCACAGTACTCTGGACCAGCATCCCTCGTTTCCTGGAGGGGCCGGTTCTCACTTCGACCACGTGGGAATGTTCCATCATCAATGCATGTCCATGTGTACATGAAGGTCACAGCATCCACAAGTAGACACACACAAGGGTGTTTGGGGCTTGGGTTTTGTGGGGGAGGGTTTACAAGTCAAGCTAGGAGCAGGTTTGGCAGACAGGATTGCTACAGCTGCAAGCAAAAGGGGACAGAGCAGACAGACAGACACACTCAAACACGGGGTGGAGGCACACAGAGAGCGGCAAACAGTGGACAAACCTTGGTTCTTCGGGCGTCCAGTAACTGAACAGCATGGGAAATGAAAAAAAAAAAAGGAAAGGAAAAAGAAAAAGAAGCAAAAAATCAACACAAAGAAAAGTCCATTGCAAGCGAAGCTATTCAACAGAACAGACGCATCCACACCAAGTCCTGCACAGGGAGGGACGGGAAAGGGACGCCGGTCCCCTCCCCCAGCGAAGCCCCTACGCCACACAGACCGGCTGGTGTTTGCCGCACAGAACCAAACGGAAAGCAAGCGTGAGCGCTACACCGTCTTTTGATTTCCTTAAGCCCAGGGACCCGGACCGGGACAGCTGTGGCTCCAGGGAGGGAAGCACACCATTGCAGAAACGCTTGCATAGTACCCCAGCCGCCCACCGTTTTAACCAAAACAGTGAAAATGCCAGAGAAACAATACTGTCACCAGTCGGCAGGAGAGGCACCCTGTGTGAAGGCAGCTGTTGAGTTCAGTACTGTGCCCCACTGTCCCCCCCAGGGCTGTCCCCCCAGGCTGGTAAGAGCAGGGGCCACAGGCTTTGATGCCTCTGTCCCGGGCACTTCATGTACATGGAATCCCACACGAGATGATCTTCTATGTCTGGCTTCTCTCACTCGGCCTAAGGTTTCCAAGAGCAATCCATTTTGTAGCATATCTCAACACTGCATTCCTTTTTGTGGCCGCCTAAGAAGCCGGATCCATGGACCTACCACTCCGTGTACTCGTTCCTCAGTGATGGGTACACAGGCAGGCTGCTTCCACTGCTTGACCATGATCTTAGCTGCCGTGAACATTCACGGGCAAGCTTCTGGGTGGACGTGTGTTCTCATTTCGTTTGAGTATCTGCATAGGACAGAATGGCTGGGTCATATGGTGGCTCTTAGGCTCGGCTCGTGAGGAATGGGTGGAGTTTTTTCCACGGTCGTGGAAGCAGACCACGGGCACCCCTTGTCATCACCCCAGCAGTGTCTGTTGGAGGAGTTTCATTTCCTCGCACTTCTACCAAAACCAAACCCCAAACCACAGGTCATGTCTGTGTCTCTGGTTATAGCCATCCTCACGCGAGTGAACAGCAGCCCAGGTGGTGGTGGCAGGTCAATGTCGGGTTACTAATCACAAGGTGAGTGGTTCGAACCCAGGAGCCACTCGGTGGAGAGAATGAGGCTATTGACATGTCCCTGTGAAGATCTGCCGCCTGGGAAACCCTACACAGGACTGCTACGAGTTGGGATGGGGTTCTTTGGCTTAGTGGTTGACAGGCCTGTCACTGTGGCTCTGGTGCATCTCTGATGACTCACTCACTACCACTGAGTCAGTTCCCACTCATCTAGACCAGTGGTTCTCACCCTTCCTAACGCCGCAACCCTTTCATACAGTTCCTCATGTGGTGGTGACCCCCCACAACCATAGAATTATGTTTGTTGCTACCTCATCACTGTCATTTTACTCCTGTTATGAATCAGGCGACCCCTGTGAAAGGGTTGCTCGATCCCCAAAAGGGTCACAACGCACAGGTTGACAACCGCTGCCCTAGATGATACGGAGAACTGCCCCTGTGGGTTTCCGTAACTGTAAATCGCCATGAGAGGAGAAAGCCTCATTTCTCCTACAGAGCAGCTGCAGTTTCCAACTGCTGACCTTACGATTAGCAGCCCAATACCCCATGAGGGATCCTCTTTGATGAGCCATGTGAAATATGGGTTCATGTGCTTACTGGCCAGTTGTATATCTTACTTGAAAAAAAAATTAACATTGTGACTCATCAAACAACCCAAATGTCTACCAACTAAGGAATGGAGAAACAAAATATTGTATAGCCACCCAATGGAATATTATTCAGCCATGAACAAGAATGGAGCATTGATGCATGCTATGACACAGATGAACATTGAAAGAAACATACGGAACACGGAATTAAACATATGGAAGCAGGCAGTCACCACAGACCATATATTGCATGATTCCTTTATATAAAATTCTAAGACTACATAAATCTATAGAAACATAAAGTAACTGTGGCAGTTACATAAACTCCTGCCAACTTGTGAAGGGGTGGAGTCTAGCCTGTCAATCAGGTTGCAGCTCGATGACCTCATTTGGAGGCACATCAGAGATAAATAGCTCACTGGAGACCAGATACCCTCACTCCCTGCAAGATATTACTGTTGACAAGCCACGTGGAGCTATGTGGATGGAGTCTGAGCCCTGGAGCTGAAAGAGCCACGTGGAGACCCACGCCAACACTGAGATGCTTACACCACCACTGGATCCACAAGACTTTCCACCACTGGTCTGTGATCTTCCTGGATTCCGTGTCATTGCATGGCTGTGTGAGTCTAAAGAGGAACACATGGACTAGTATCGACATATGGGGTATTATTGGACCTATAGACTTGATCTAGAGTGGGCTGGGATGTTTTCTTAATGTACAATTAATTGCTCTTTGATATAAAGCTCTCTCTTACACACATATGAGTGGCTCTGGGGTTGTCTCTCCAGTCCACCCAGACTGACACAGTACCTCAGTGGTCACCAAGGACTGGGGCTGTGACTTAGGGAGAGACTGCCAACGAGGCCTAGGCTTTTCTTTGTTTGGGGTGGCGAGCGCGAACGCAGTCCCCCGACCACCACAAATTATGCAGTCGAGTTTCCCACATTTGGGGAAACCGCAGGGGTCAGCACATCCGGAGTGCGATGGATAAGCCTCACCCTGGGAAAACCACCTTCGTGATCATGGTATCTCACCTGCCAGGTAAGTATGGCCTAGGCTTCTTTTAGGGTGATGACATTTTTATGGAATTAAAAATGATGATGGTTATACAATTTTACAAATATACTAAAAACAATTAATTTTTACCCACTAATACAGTAAATTTTATAGGATATTTGCTGTATTTCAATAAAGCTCTTATCATAAAAAGAGAGGTGAGACTGTTTAGTACTAGGATCCTCCTCTAGCAGCCTCCGACCACAGACCATGCCCAACAAAGTCCACAGGAGTGGCCACAGCTGTGGGTCCAGCAACATGGCCGTGGCAAAGTTCTCAAGCTCGTGACTTGGCAGATGTCCCCAAACCTTGTAAACATTCTTCACAATGACAAGTTGTTGTCCCTTGAAGGTAATTTGGATTTCTGAGATGATACAAGTTTACTTGGAGATAAACAGATGAATCTGGACGACCAGACTAGAAATGACCTTTTCTGAGAGAGACAAAAATAAGACTGCTTTTTCTTCCCGCGGTCCATAAACTGGCCAGAAGAGAATTCCAAAGAGAACCGGAAAACTGCTTTGAGAAGAGTCAACGCCGCTAGGATCACAGCTCTGACAGGAGTCGCCCCTCTGGGTGAGAAAGTGGCCTGTCCCCCTGACCACTCGTTTCCATATTTGAAAACTGGGGATAATCATAATGGCCACTTGGCAAAGTTCCTACGAAGAATGACGTAAGGCAAATCAAGGCCAGGTATGGTAAGGAGGAGCAGGAAGGGAGGGAGGAACGTAGTCAGTTAAGAAGCAAGGGACGGAGGATTGGATGAAGAATGATGGCAGATAAGGAGCAAGGAGAGAGAAGGCAGGGTGAGAGAGAAGGCAGGGTGAGAGAGAAGGCAGGGTGAGAGAGAAGGCAGGGTGAGAGAGAAGGCAGGGTGAGAGAGAAG